AATAATAATAATAATAATAATAATCTTCCTTCTGTATTTCTGCCTGACTCGTGGATGCTTCCACGGCCCGCGGGCCGACACAACACATACATATGAATTCCTAATTAATGTGGTCTTTAATTTGGCCCATTCTGTGTATGGCCGTTTCCCAAAAGACAAAGTGAAAGACCACAGGAGTCAGAAATACGTACCAAAAGTACACACCGCTCTGGCTGGGAGCACGCCCAGACAGGGCACTCAGCCTGAGGGGACAGTGGGGATTGGTACCCACTTTGTGAATCCTATGTCTATGTCATAATCAGCCTTCATTATGGGCTTAGCATTTAATTAAAACCTTTTTTTTTTTTTAATGAAGTGCTTATCAACTGGGAAGCGACATGAGGGCACCTCTGGGGGCTGGAACGTTCCGTCCCTGGGCCGGGTGGGGGTTGAGAGGCCGTACAGGCTGGTCCCGCAGTGTCCTCTGCCTGAAGACCTTGCATTTCACTCGGAAGTGAGGCATACCTCCACACAAAAGCCACGCAGGACCACGTCTGCATGCGCACATGGGCTGGCTAGGGGCTATTCCTATTCCTGCCTGAATGAAGAGAACTAGAAAAAGATAACAGTTGGCTAACCCTTGGATTTTTTTGGTCACAAGGTACCTCTGCTTTTACAATGAGCATCAGTTTATTTTTCCCTCCAACAAAGCAAAGCTGTCCCCCACTCCCCACAAGGAGGCCCGGTCTGGGGGAGGCAGGCGCCATGTTCACTCACATAAGTGCCAGGTAGTTGAGTACACAGAGGGGGTCTGGGGACCCTAAACAGGCACCTACTGCAGGGGGTGGGGTCACTGCAGCGGAGACCCCAAGGGGGTCACGGGCTAGCAGGAGGAAGGCCAGGAAAGCTGCTTTGCAAAGGCTCGTAGGCTCACAAATGGGCCTCTAGCTCTGTGCAAAGGGCCCCGGCGTGGGCTGGCACAGCCTGTGCTGGTTCGGGAAGGACGACTGGGCTGATGACAGTGTGGCCTTCCTGCCTGGCAGGTGAGCAGACACTTCCTTCTGGGACACCAGCACTGCATGTCCCCAGCCGGTCTGCGGGGGCGGGGACCTGTGTAACTCAGTCGTCTTTCTAAGCTTGTTTCTCTTTTATAAAACCGAGTTTACACCTCCATAAACATAAGGTGTGGCTTTGAAGAAACAATGAGAGAAGAGTCTGGGGCAGGAACCAGAAAGATCAGGTGACCTGCAGACACAACACGTACCCCGCTGGCCTGGTGACCACGCAGGGGTTGCTGAGTCACAACGTGCCTCAGTTTCCCCATCTGTAAAATGGCAACGACAGGCATGCCTACATCATAGGGCCACTGTGAGGACTGGACAGGACAAAGCACAGATGTCCGGCATATGCGAGGTGCCCTCAGTGCTGCAGTGACACGGTTCCTTCCCACACACAGCAGGGGCCACCTTGGTGGCTGTGCAGTGAGCTGCTCCGCTCCCCCCACCGTGGGCAACGGTCCCCTGACTCTCCCTGTTCGCAGCCATGCGAGTCAAGTAGGGTTAACTCTACCACCGCTCCAAGCCAGCCTATCACCCTGGCCACAGTGAATGGTTCAGGGACGGGCACGTGACCCCATCAGAGCCAATGAGATTTGAGGAAAGCTTCCCCAGGAAGAGATGCTTCCTGTCTTCTGTAAGAGCCACCACGGGAGGAGCTCTCTTGTCCCCCGGAACGGTGGTGGGAAGCGGGTAACTGGAAGCCCTGATGTGACACATGGTGGAAGGGTCCAGGGTGTTGACGCCAGCTGTGGAGAGGCTGAGGAGGAAACCGACACCGGGAAGGCAGGGCAAAGACAGAGAGAGACCTGGGCTCTGCGAATGTCACCTAGTGCCTGGAGCAAGTCCTGCCTGCAGCCAGCCTCCCTGAGGATTTCTCAGTTATATGACTGACAAACTCCCTTTACCATACTAATAAACATGAGATGGGGTGACTCAGCTAGAGCGTGGTGCTGATAACCAAGGTTGTTGGTTCAATCCCCGCATGGGCCACTGTGAGCTGCGCCCTCCCTGAAAGTGTCAATTATGCCATTGTAGCATGACAGCCATGTGTCAACAATGACCATGGCTGTTCCCCAATAAATAGTCTAAATAAATAATTAATAAATAAATCTGAGCTGATTGTTCAGTTATTTGCAACCAAAAGATTTCTATTGGTTAAAATAATCAAACCTCAAATTAGGCTGTTTCCAACTTGCAGAAGCCCAAAATAAGTCAAGATAGTCAACATGCTCGCAGCTCTGATCGAATAAGACGTCCGGCCACAGGCTCCTCAGGGCCTGGCACTGAGTCAGGGCACCGGAGGCCCCGCTGTGGCATGTGCCCGGCCCTCCCAGCATCTCTCATGGCGGGAGGCACCTGACCTCGTGAACACGTGCCAGCTGCCCTCCCCAGGAAACTGGGGTCAAGCCTGCCTTCCAGAAGGAGGGGAGTGGTACACAGCGGGAAAGAAACCAGGTGCACAGGCCACAGGGAGGGCAGGTGACCCTGAGGACCTGGGCGGGCCTGAGAGGGGCGGCTGTGTACAGATGGCAGTAAATACGGGAGGGCCCCTTGGAGGGACAGTGAGCCAATTCCTGGAAGACATCTTTGGGGGAAAGGGTGACCGCCAGGGTAACAGCCACCATGTGGACCCAGACCACCCACCCCCCACACCACCTAGAGCAGATTGGTGGATTTCAGCACACCTCGGGGCAGCAGCCACCAGTCCAAGCCCTCTTTTTTTTTTTTTTTTTTT